GAAAATTTCATCGGCAAGGTGAAAACGTGTGAAATCCCATGTGACAATGTCATCCTGAGTGCGATAAAAAAAACTCCCAGGATTGAAGGAAACGAGAGTGATGAAGACGATACAAATGAAGGTGTTCCAACGGTGCAAGAGGCGTTGAAGGGCAACGGAATTACGATACTTAAGAGACAGTGGAAAATGCAGAAGCAAGTCTGGAGAAAGCTCGAAGTCTGGTGAAGAATCAAGAGAAATTACTCGTACTAATGAAAAATGTACGCAGCAAATAATTGATTTTTTTAATGGTCAAATAATGAAATTGAAATTTTCAATTCGTGCTGTTAACCTATTTTGCGGTATGTCTTTATATCAATAAAATCAGTAATTGTGGAGAAATTCTATTTAATTTTGACATCGGATATGGTGAACCTCTGATATAATTGTAGCGTCATAGGGCTGGGCGTCCTGTAACAGAGAAGCACTTGCAAGGCATGGGCCCGAGGGAAGCAAAATATAGCCACCCAAACAATGAGCGCCACACCGGACCAGAGGGATTTCCAGAGGAGATTATCGGGCACCGGAATGTCGCGTGGTGAGATAGCTCGCTTACGGAGCAGATGACTATCAATTCACGTAGTTATAAGGGCAGCGAAGCCACTCAGGGGTTTCATAAACGCGCGGGCCAAATAAACTTTGAATTTTCAACACACACAATGCCCGCGCCTGTTGCCTATTTTTGACCCTCTCTATTTCTTTATGTTGCAGGATTAACCGTAGATGCCCGTAAGGGTAGAAATGGTCGCAAAAAAGTGGCACTGCACTTCTCGTTCGTTCACAAAACTGCACAAATGTTAGATTTACGCGTGGGTATCGGTTCCTGATTTCCTCGTAGTGATACTGCTAATCTTTGTCTGCCCAGACTGACGTGGAGTGCCAAGTGCATGAGGTGCTCCGATGAGTTCGGGCACGGCAGTGTGGTTCTCTATCACTGTAGGACAGGCTGTGTATCTGCCAGGACACGACTGATGCCGAGTCGCGAGTAGGTAGAGTTGGCTATTCGCTGGCGCTGCCACAAAAAGCGTGTAGAAAGGGGGGCTGAACGGAGGTAGCTCCGACAAACGCCTCAGAGGGAGGACCTGTATATTGTATATAATTATGGAAATAAACTATATAGCTCACTCGTATCTGTGTTCTTGTGATGTATATCCCTACGCACATCACATAACGAACCTAAAATGTTAGTCCCTAGCAGTTCACTGCAACCGGCCAAGGACAAACCATCGACATTCATCAAATTTCTCTTAATCATTTTAACAAATGTCAAATATTTGATTTGACAACTTGATTCGAAGTTTCGAAATCGTCCCCACAACTCCAGGAAAGTTCGCAATTCTAAAAGTCTTGCTTATCTACTGAGGTTTCGGTGCCTCTCAGAATTACCACACCCTGTGACAGTGGTGGAGCAATTGCGAAAGAAACTTTCTTAACAACATAATCCCGTATAACGAAACTCCTTTGCAAATGCCGTTGTAAAGGTCATGTAGAAAAAAATCTTTAACCAATCACCATTGCTACATGAATGTTGGAGACTTATCTTTCTTCGTGGAGTATTATTCAAGAGGCGGTTTTATTTCGTCTAAAAAATGTAGGACCACCTTCAACATTCTGTATCTGGTTAAGAATTGAGCATTGTCCAACTCAAATATTTTTTTGGCGAAATTGTTCGCTCTGGACCCAACGTTTCTGAATGCTCAATATACGAATGTTCGGCATCAAAATTATTCCACATGATAAACACTAATGCGCCTTGAACAGCAAAAGAGTCAATGAAGTATAATGCACGCGTTTGATACACTATAACCTCGGAATAGGAGTTTAACGAGTCGTCAAAGGCGTTGATGGTAGGGTAGACCTAGGTCCAAATTTGACACGTTTTGACGATCGTCAGGCGAATTGACCTCGGTGAAATGAAACGCATACTTCGATTTAATCAGAGTCCGTTGACGTTTAATCTTCTGTTACGGTGTCATCCAATTGGGAGCTTAGGCAGTAAACGTCACTACTGTAGGTGTCATTCAAGCTCCCGATTATACGCTGCATTCGTCTGGTTTTCATACGATGTTCGGTGAAACTAAAACGACTTTGGAAGAAAAACCTATCTGCTCATGAACTCTATTCCTCTAGCATAAAATACAGTTACAATATATACATTTACTGTTTCATTCAACATCAAAAGAATGTTTCAAATGAAAGCAGCAGGTGATTTTACCTCAAATTTCACTTATTAATTCAATATCATGAGACGAGACAAAAACAAAAAATAAATGAAGTTTATCTGACCACATCATCATCATCTGGAGTCCAAAATGCCCTCCTGTAAACCAAAATTCTCTTTTCAACTCAAACATTTACCTTGATCTGAATAATTTGAAGAAATATTTTGTTTTCAACCTTCATATGGGAACAATGCAATTCCTTCATGTGACAATAATTTGCCTGTACTGTCACAGAGCAACTCACGATTCATCAATTTGCATATATTGTACAAGGCCAGAAAACAATGCAACAGGAAGGAATTCCCACGCATTTGTTTTCATAAAGTATTTGAAATATTAGGAAACACATTTGAAAATGTTCACTGTAGAAATAAATAATATAGAAGCTTCAGGATGGGGGTCAGAACCCAAGGAGACAAAATGATGCCTCCTTAGTATTCTAGGTCTATTCAATTATTTTTCACAAAATCCATGTTTTAGATGAATTTTTAACACACTGTAAATAAACAAAACTGATGAAAAGTAATGAAATCGTAAACTTCCAAGTATAAAAACAAAAAAGAGAAAAGGACATAAAAAGTGCCAGGAGTAAAAACAATGCCTCTGGGTGTTCTAGTGTTAACAAGCCATCAGTACTCTAACTTCTGTCAAAGCTTCAGATCAACAGTAGTGAAATCAGCTTACACCAGCTGCATTATTTTCATTAAATGTTACTAAGTAAAAATACATAATTTGCTCCACATACTACTTCTCCTAAGTAAAAGATGACTGAATATATTTATAATGAACATTGAGGAAGGTAGCACAAACAAGCTGCAACTGGCAACTGCCACTACTAAGTTGTACAAAATACATGATAATTTTATTAAATACAAAAGAATATAAATCGTATTAATTTTTGGAATATTATAGAATATTTAAGAAATACAGATAGTATTTGTGCCTTCAATGGAATTAAAAATAGCTAAAACAATAAAAAAAACTTGTAATATATGTCATGCATGAAAAACACTGAAATTACCACATAAATGAAAGAAATAGTACAAGATCTAGTGCAACTAAATGAGGAGCTTAATTGATTTACACTGAATGTGCAAGTGTGTCAGCCTTATCTCTTCATATTGATTTAAAAATACTTCAAATGCATTGAATGAAAAGTCAAAAGAAAGTAAGTTTGCAAAGCAGGCAAATTAAAGTTCTACTTTAACAGTTTGTCTGGCTTCCATTTGAAAAATATCAATCATATACTCCCTACAAGACTTCAAATCTTTAAGATTTCAAAAAGCATAAAAAAGCTGTAAAAAGGTACCAGATAGAGAACATTCTGTGTTAAGTATAAGCTCCAGAACACTAAATCTATGTAACTCTCAAATATACTCAGCAGAAATCGTAGACCAGGACCAGAATGCAAATAGCAGGCAAGGACAACAGATTGGCAAGCAGAGCAAGCTGCCGGAATCTGCTAGTGTCAGACACAAGATGATGCAATGAATGGCACAAGTTGCCAAAGTTACATCAAGTAAGTTCCTGCTGACATCAGATACGAGGTGATAGAATGACTGGCACAAGTTACCAACATCGCATCAAGTAAGTTCCTGCCTCTAATGCATCTAAGATTCTCCAATTAAACTTTCTCTACTCTTATTTTAAAAACTGAAGCATCTGATTGGATAACAGCTCTCTCTCTCTCCTAACTCACCATGTGTAGAGAATATTTCATCGGAGAACAGTACACATGGTGCAGTGGTAAAATGAGCAATGCAGAAGCTAAGCAGCTAGCTTCCACTCCTGTGTGTTAAGAAACCCACAAGATTTGAGAAGGTTGAAGATGGAATTTTGTATAGTTGGTACAAAACGTACTAGATATTATTACATAATAACACACATTGACACCAATTTACTATTACAATTAATTGACCTCAGGCATGATAATCACCAAGAAGATCGGTCCTATAGTGCAACAAATTTATTAACTTCTATAAAAATTTCTCTCAGACACGTTTACTACATTTGTTCCAACATGCTACAAATATCTTACCTATGTCTGGATTCATTTGTGTTTGCAAACAATTGTTTGTTTGTTTTTCTGAGAAAGGGAAGTTCCCTTCTTCAGGAAAATTTATTCAAACTATTGTTCCAAATATAAACAATTTTTTAAATCAAATAAGCTCAAAAACAAAATGTTCTACATAATTCTCTCCACAACAAACTTATTAGGAATTCATCTATACTGTGAAATGTAATAGTTTTCAATAACCATGAGTATTTTACAAAAGCATCAATTTATAATACGTCATAACTAATTAGTTTTTGATAAAAATATTGATGTAAAATTGCTTCTTTTGTCAGAGTTATTGAACTGCCAGTATTATTTCCACTCACAAATTACCGCACTTGCCCATCATAGCTGTGATCTTGGTAGCCAAGCCTGCTGAAATCACGGCAGGAATACAACTGCCCAAGAACCTACTCCTGTCTTACACTGTTTAATTAAAAATCTAACAAAATGAGACCACTTGAGAAGATTCATGCAAACCATGCAGGTATATGAATTGTTGCAATTCACTACACTACCCCAACACCAGTCTTATTTTAACAAGTCTACCTTATCATCATGACACGTTAAAGACTGAAATAATGATAAATGAAACTACACCTTTACTTCTGCCAATTCTACACAAGCAAAATGCATATACTAGTAGTTTCCTGAAATTATTTTACTAGAAAGTTCCAACTTACCTTCGCAATGACATGTATTTCAAAGGTTTCAGATTTTTTGAAACACTATGTTCTGGTCCAACAGGTTTCTTCACTAAATGCCTTTTTGACGGAAAACTTCTGATATCAGTCGTCCGTGATTCTTCACGTAATACTGATGACCGAGTGCGAACCATGTTTTTACCCTTAACTGCAAGAAAAATTTGGATTACAATTCACATTATAGTAATTGCAAAAAGAACCATTTAAAATGTGGCATTTAAAAAAAAATTAAATTTTTTTTTTAAAAAAAAAAAAAGGCTTAGTGAAAAAGCTTGAAATTGAAGACAACCGAAAACTTCAGTTTGCATATTTCTTCAAAACAAATAATTTACCCCCTCATTCATACAGTTTAGAGAAATTATGTAAATTTATTAAAGAAATTAAGTTATTAGTGAGAACACAGGATGAGAAAAATGTAATTTAATTTTAACTTAATTTTTCAGTAAGTTTTAACCATTTTTTTCAATTTTCACTTCTAATTGAAGAATTTTTATCAATCTCGTATTGTATTCATGGTGTCCTCTTTGGGTTGAAAAGCAGGACCTCACACAATGCCCTGTTCATGTTATGAATGTCTGTTGATGTGCCCTTGATACAAATCTTCAATACCCAAACTGATGAGGAAAGGAAGTCGTTAAAAGTATAGTTTATTCCTCTGAGTAGGCACTAAGATAAAAGGAGCTTCAAATGTTCACATTTTTCCCATAATTTCAATATATTTGATTTACATGAATTTAGAACACGAGTCAAGACAGTCGCTCTTCACAGTAAGAACCTTCCCCACCATTGTATCTACTCCCTGGGAATGGTGCACAACTTTCTCACAGTGGCAACGCTGTGAACACGCAGTGTTCTTTGGAAGTGTGAATTTTCAACTAAAATATTTATCTTTACATGGGATTCTCATTTTAATTTAAGGTAAGTTTCAGTAGTGGATTATTTCCTATTTAGGTTTTCCTTCTTTTTTCTTTTTTTTCTTCTGTTTTGTTTCTTGTATTTTGTTCCAATAAAATGAAAGTTGCTCAAAGGGTGGAGCAAAGCTGAAGGGGCAGAGCAGGAAGCAGTGGAAAGAAGCTAATATCGCAAGCTTAGGAGACTAGCCTAACATTTGCTTAATGGTATTATTCAGAGAACTCTTATGTGTCAAATTTAAAACAGAGGAAAATACCAAGGACAGGAAATGGATGGAAAGGAAGAATCAAGAAACAACACCAGAAGGAAACCACTCAGCTGTTGTGGGTCGTTTTATTTTCACCATACCTCAATCAGCATGCAGTTATGGAGATTTCTTGTTAGTAAGATTTCCCCCCCCCCCCCAAAAAAAAAATTTTAGTTGAAAATAAAAATAAAAAAAATGTATGCTCAAAAACAGGGTTTACTTGTGATATCATGTCTCAAAAAATACTTAATAAGGATATTTTTATATCATTGTTTATGTAAAATGACAAATGTTTTGCTCTATGAAACGAAGCAGAACTAGAAGATCTATTATAAATTGATTTAAAGATTATTGATTTTACAACTTCGTTTTTTTTATTTTTCTAATAGGAAAAACATTTGTCTCATTATGTGAAAATGTGAAGAGAAAAAGTAGTGTGCAGTTTTGTTCCCACTCCCCAAATTTTAAAATTGAAGGAAATAAGTGAAAACATTAAAAATTTAAAAGTTTTGAATATTTTTAGTAATATACACAGTAACAAAATCATCTTAAGTTTGTACATGAGAGAACAGTTATATATGTCTAGTGACACAAAGTGCATTATTGCCTGACAGTAGATTTCTAAGTTGTTGTTACCGTTGTTGTTGCCGCTGTGGTTTAATTTGAACAATCGTGCCACCTGCTAAACTGATGTTACTGTTGTCAGGAAGGGGAAACAAAATACTTGAGAATATACATTTGTCTACCTTTTAAAATGAAAGTCAATAACCCAGAGCAGCAGTTCATTAACTTGATAACATTTATCAAACTTGCTTGCACTGAAATAATACACCTTAATTTTCAAAACAAATTTTGAATCTGTTGTCTTTAAAGATAATGTGTGAATGAATTTCTATCCTTTAAATTTTGTGGTTTTGCAATGACTTCTAAGGTGGATGGTTTTGTGAAGTGATCATTCACTTTTCTAAATTATATTAATTTTCCTCAAAATACACCAAATCATTTTTCTATCTTAATATCTTACCTTTCTGAGCCAATTTACTGAGTGTGCTAGCTTTCTGTTTTGCAAGTCTTTGTTCTTGATACTTCTTTCTGAGTGCCTGAACAGAAGTAGAAGGTCTCTTTTTTGTTTCATTCTCAACTTTATCATTTTTCTTGACTGTTCCTGGAACCTGGAATAGATAAAACATTGAATATACTTAACAATTCCCATAATGCTACTGTACATTAGTTGCAGAATTTGTCAACAACTTAATTAGGATTATTGCCTATATACACAAAACAGATATTGTGAATATTGAACTGATAAAACAGAAAGGTATGTGTCTGTTGCTTTTCATTCACAACAGTTGAAGTCAGAAACAAACACTAAATAGATGGAAAAATTCTGTAGTTAATTTGTAGTATTACAAGAGCAATAATACACATAATACGATAATTCCTAAGGAATGTCATAAATTCAGGATACAAACTTGAGCCAAAACAATCTATTTAAACTTATAATAGGTATCTTTGGATTACATAAACGGATTGAGTTTAAATAGGAAAAAAATGTGGTGTGAGTATTGTCATAATAAGACATTTAATAGAGGAAAGAAGGGAACTAAACATAAGAACACAAAATAGCTATTAAATGAGATGTTTTTGATTAAATGAAATAGTTATTGAAAAAGTCATCACTGTTGGCACTTCACAGACTGTAAATCAAATGGTTAACAATACATGACATTTTAAAATCAATGCCTGAAACTTAACACTAATTTATCATCATGTACTACTAAAAATTGAGCTTTACAGCCTTTTCCCATCAGTTTAATGCGTTGTGTAGTTTAGACTTTCAAGTGTAATTGCTGTTGCCATTTCTTTTGTTTTCTAATATCTGTTTCCTAACAGGTTGTACTTTCACATCAGTTTTGGCACACTGTTGTTGAGTAGTATCCTTTAAGTGATCTTTATATTTCCTTAGAGAGTATTATTTCTTCTTCTAACCTTTGGATTTCAGTATCGTTCTAATATCTCTATTTCTGTCCGTCTCTTGTGATTCCCATGAGGTGTCTTCAGAATCTTATATGAACCCATCAGTGGTTTTATTTGTCCTTATTTTCAATTATCCATGTATTAAAACCATACACCATCCTAGGATTAGAAGCTAAGGCTACAATTTCCATTTAGTTTCCGGGTCCATGTCTCTGCTAAAATGTGTCTTTGAATTGTTCCACAAATTCTGTTGCAGTTATATCAATTATTTTCTGAGTCCTATAAGGTGTGGTTACACAAACTTATGCTGTTTTTGAGCTGTGAGAACTTATTTACTTGTTTCACAATTTCTAATATTTTTATAATTTTGGTTATCCCTTGTTCTTCACCTTGCAATGCTATAACATTTGTTTTCTGCATTACTATCTTCATGATATACTCTTACGGTTACTGTTGTTAATTCAAAAAGAACTCTTTGTAAACATTCTTCAGAATCTATTGATGGTTTGGTCATCAGCATACAAGGTTGAAACTATGTTCTGTTTTTATTGATTAATTAATTTATATTGTGATATGTTTTGTAGTCTACTTGAAAGTTAATCCTTCAAAGGGCATTACGTTTGGGTATGAAAATATTGTTATATTTCCAAAATTGTAATTTTTATCCAGTCTGATTCAGATTAATTTTATTAACTCATTTAATAAAATTAATTTTACTTTTTTGCCTACACACATACTTGTCTACTTACATAGTAAGCAGAAGTTATTGCAATACTGCAATGAAATTGATAATTTTCCTACCCAACAAAAATTATGGTGGAGTCCTGAGACAGACATGTTTCTTTATGTACCTAATTAATCACACTTCCTCAAATATGCAGTGCAGTTAGTATTCACATGTTGAGGGTCTGTGTTCCTGAAAATTTGGAGTAGAGCAAAACGACCGTCTGTAAGTGAAACACTGTCTATCAAACCATATGTCTCTGTGTCTGTCTGTCCGTCCGTCTCGTGTAATTCAGAGAAGTATCCGTCCGCCACGACATTCGTTCGTAGGAATGGGCAAAGGCGTTCCTTTACGTGAACAGTTCTGATTGTCATTTTTCAAGATCTACTTCAAAAGGACGAGATAGTTCCTTTAATTTAGTGTTGTAGACAGGGATGCAACATACGGCGGAATACCGACAATTGGGCGAAAAACAAGCATAGACTTGTGGAAAGAAAATGCATTTTCATGTGAATTTTGTGAATCTAGGTTGAAAAAAATTAAAATACACAAAAATATAATTTGTTAACTGTTATACAAAGTATACATTGAAAGTACATTATAATGTTAATATACAAAACCATTTTCTTTGAAAAACGTCGACGGCAAAGGTTTTCTTTTGCAAAAATAAAAAGTTTCACAACATGTGTCAATTCATGAACCGAGAATGACAAATGCAAATAAAAATAAAATAAAAGCATAAATTAATCAATAATAAATGAATTGTTATATTATTAATTTTTTATTTGATAAGACAGAAAATAAAAATATAATTTAGTCAATATGGAAACAAATTAAAGAAGGGTAAAAAATGATTGTTACAAATCAATAATGTTCAGTATCCTTCTAATGAATCCTCGGATGAGGTAACAGTATTTAATTCTTCAGTGTTTTTTTTATCAATGTCTAACAAACTAACCATTTTTCTATAGTATTCTCTTTTTTGGTCTTGAAGAGCCCTTGAAACTTGCAATATAAGGATCAGATGTTATTAGACGCCTGTTCATGATTTCAGTGTTAGAGTCTACCTTTTATGTTATCCTGGTAAATAGTTCACTGTTCTTTCTTCCTTGTTGGGCTTCTTCAGATAACTGTCCAAAAGTGTCGATGATGATTAAGGTTTAAGAACAATTCTACAGCAAAGGCCATTGACGCCAGTCTCAATTGTTCTTAAGAGCAATACAAACTGTAGCAGTGCCAGACTACAACATTTTTAATGCCAGGTAAAATGTAAAAAGTAAATAACATGTAAGTAAATAAAAATAAAATAAACGTGTTGAATTGTTTAAAAAAGGGGTTGGCAGAAAAGGGCCAGATACACATTTTAAAATCTCTTATTATAAGCAAAATAATTGGCATAATCCTCTTCTCTCAGATAATGCTGTAAATGTCAGACTCTCGTAAGCAGCTAAAAAGCTTGCAGAGAGAAGATTCGTCACGTCCATGTACCTGTGCTAAAGAGCTAGCAAGGTGAAGCCTTCGGTGGCAATCTCTTACCTTCGAACAGTGCAGGAGAACATGCTCTATGTAAGATCCGACTTGCAACTATTGCAAGTAAGTGTGGGTCACCACGGAGAAGTCTGTAGGAGAAGAAATGGCAGTGGCTGATCAGAAGGCGTGTCAGAATTATATCCTTGCGTATTGACCCAGGAGATGAAGACTAAGGATTTATGGAATCCTTGCTGCTCGTGAGTTTAAAATCTGAGTTCTTGCCACTCTGTTTGCCATGCACTGAGAATACATTTGATAAACAGCTTGGTATCGTTTGATGGGACTGCGAGGATGTCTATCTTAGTTTTCTTTGCGGTGAGCTTTGCTGCCTGGTCAGTAATTTTGTCCCTTATTATCCCGTGACCAGAGATACAACAAAGAACTAAATTATAACGACACACCAGTAAATTATGGATTTGGTATTGGACGATTATTGTGAGAAGGTTACAACCAGAGAAGCAGGAGATAGATTCAAGCAGGCTTTTTGAATCACTGCAGATCACAGTGTTATCGATTCAACGAACTTAAGTGCTTCCAAGAGTGCATCTAGAATCACTGCAGATCACAATGTTATCGATTCAATGAACTTAAGTGCTTCCAAGAGTACATATTTTTCTGCAGTATACGCGCTATACGAGGAGTCTAGTCAAAGACTCGCATGGCGCTGTGACAGATAAAGGCACACCTTACATTACCATTCAGGGAGGAACCATCAGTGTATATGAAGTTGTAGCCCGGATACATGGATTTCGTCTCCTGGAATTCCACCACAAATGTACAGGGGGAGTAAAGGATTTGGGGAAATGTGATAATCTCAGGTCAATTTTAGGCCGGAGACGCTGTCAATGGGGAACAAGTCTTCGGGAGTGGGGTTCACAGGGATGGGGAATTTTATATCGAATAGAGAGCATGTAGAGATGGATATCTGGAGAATGTGGTAACAATGGTCTGAGTTCATACGATGTCCTGTGACTTGGGTGTTTGGCGCGAAGGAGTATTTTAGCTGATACTTTCACACCATAGGAGCCGATTACAATATCTCACCTTCGGCTCATGGCCTCAGCCAAGCGGTATTCAACGGCGACTCGTGCGGTAGGCGCCTGTGCTAATCCGTATACTGGCATTGGTATGGTATTCAATGACCGGAGGGTCGATGGAGACGCTGACCCATAAATAATACACCCAAAATCTCAGATAAGATGGACAATAGTCCTATATCGGTGCAAAAGACATACTCGGACTGCGCCACATGTTCTACCAGTAAGGGTGCGAAGGAGGTTCAATGGTGATACACATCGGATCTTCAAGTTTTAAATTTACTTTCACTAAGTTGAACTCGAAAAATTCACTCTCGTAGAACGCCAGACCAAGGAAAGTGGCAGATTCGAAGGGAAGTTGATGACTCCCCCAAAAAAGATCAGGATGATTATGGAGGTGGTATATTCTACATAAGTGAATGCAACTGGATTTTGTGGAGAAGTTGAATCCAGTTATTCTTGCAATTTGGTGAGGACAAGCTGTAGCTGCGTCTCAATAACTTGCATTCTCTTAGAGGAGCAGAATATGACAGTCATCAATGAAGAGCGGCTTCACAGGCTCCAGAATTACTGATGCCATACTATTGATAGCAATGGCAAACCGAGTGACATTCAGAATTGGCCCCTGAGGAACACCGTTTTCTAACTGGTGACTTGAGGATGTGTCACCAAGATGGACGCGGAAAGACCTCGCCGAAAGAAAATCTACCAGAAACAAAGGTGTGAAGAATGCCGTTCACCAAGTGGCCTCATACACTTTCTCTATGTCGAAAATAATAGCTACCTGGTGTTGTGGCACATTCCTGGTGAAGTGGAGATCTGAGTGGCAAGGGAGAGTAAGTGGTCCATGGCTGACCTGTGCTCCTTGAAACCACATTGAAAAGATGTAAATAGATTCCTTTGC